TCTCCTTCCTTCTTCCTGTTTCCCCAATTCTCCTCTCTCCTTGTCCCGCCTATACTTCCTGTCTGGTCACTGGCCATCAGTGTTTTATTTATATACAGCAATATCCACAGCACTGTGCAGCCCTGGCTGCTCTGGAACTCGCTCTGTAGACCAGGCTGGTCTCAAACTCACGTAGATTCTCCCAGGCCTCTGCCTCCCGAGTGCTGGGACTAAAGGCGTGCACCACCATGCCCAGCTGGTTTGGTATTTTGAGACAGGGTTTCTCTACACAGTCCTGGCTGTCTCGCAACTCACTGTGTAGAACAGTAGGCAGCCTTGAACTCACGGAGACCCACGTGTGGGAAGAGTCCCTGGCACAAAACAGGACATGCTGGGCGAGCAGGAGCCCTAGAGGACTCCAGGGTCTACTTCCTGTGCTGGCCCGGGGCTGTCTTTGCCTGAGATGTTCTTTGGGTCCTCTCTCTGACCACATCTACCCTTACTCACTTCCCCAGAGCTCCGAGAGGCCTTCCGAGAATTCGACAAGGACAAGGACGGCTACATCAACTGCCGGGACCTGGGGAACTGCATGCGTACCATGGGCTACATGCCCACCGAGATGGAACTCATTGAGCTGTCTCAGCAGATCAACATGAACTGTGAGTCCCTGTCCTCCAGGTCACACAGGCCTGGGGCCAACGTCTGTGACCAGCTCTGTGGTCCAGTTCAGGTCACTCGTCCTCTGAGCCTCAGTTTCCTCCCGCGTGAACAGGGTTGTAATGAGACAGTAGAAAGGAGTTATGGGGCGCTGGAGAGATGGCTCAGCGGTTAAGAGCACTGACTGCTCTTCCAGAGGTCCTGAGTTCAATTCCCAGCAACCACATGGTGGCTCACAACCATCTGTAATGAGATCTGGTGCCCTCTTCTGGCCTGCAGTCATACATGCTGTATACATAAAAAAGAAAGAAAAAAAAAAGAAAGTTATGGTATAGGTGAGTAACAGCCCAAAACGCGGCTCACAATAAGAAGTCAGGGGATGCCGTTAGCATTATGAAGTCCTCTGTCTTTATATGGGTTCTCCAGAAACAGGGATCTGGGTTCAAGGCATCTATTAAATAAGGAAGCGCAGGAAGGGGAGGGACATGGGGAGGGGAGGGGCCCACACGGGGTAGACTCACACCAGCTGCCACAGGAGGCAATGGAGTGTCAGCCCACTCAAGAAGCTGATACAGAATAGGCACTGAAGGCAGAGGATGTAGCTCAGTTGGTCGAGCGCTTGTCTAGCATGTTCAAAGGCCAGGGTTTGGTCCTCAGGAATGCATATGATTTGGCTAGAGATATCTTCCTGTCCCCACCTCCCCAGGGCTGAGAACACAGGTACACACACACAGACTGCCACAGTCAGCACTCGGGACATGGAGAGAGAGGATCAGTTCTAGATGGGGGCTGGAGAGATGGTCCAGCAGTTAAGGGCACTGGCTGTTCTTCCAGAGAACTCAAGTTTGATTCCCAGAACCCACACGGCGGCTTATAACTGTAACTCCATAAGGCTCTGACCCTTTCTTCTGGCTCTGTGGGCACCAGGCATGCACATGGAGTATAGACATGCATGCAGGTGAAAAACTCATACACATAAAATAAAATAATAAATCTTTAAAAAAAATGTTTCAAAAGAAGAAGTTCAGGGTCACCCTCAGCTACATAGCAAGTTTGAGGCCAGCCTGGAATACATATGATTCTGTCTTGATGATGATGATGGTGGTGGTGGTGATGATGATGATGATGGTGGTGATGATGATGATGGTAGTGGTGGTGGTGGTGGTGGTGGTGGTGATGATGATGATGGTGGTGGTGGTGGTGATGATGATGATGGTG